TTGTGTGAGCTGTGGTACCGGCTCTTGCAATAGTTGGGGCTTTTCTTAAAGCCCCAGCTCCTGGAGTCAGAGGATCATGAGAGAATCTCAGCTTTTGTTAAAATATAATGCAAGGTTCTAGGCCTCCTGGTTACAGAGAAAAGCCGGGAAACGTGATCCCCAAAGGCAAAGTGTCAAAAGGAGTTATTTAAAAAAAAAAAATCTCATAATTTGTAAGCCAGGCTCATGATTTGGGGTCCTGGCTCAGGATATTTTAACAGTGGGGGCTGGCGAATTCTGTGGCTCACAAGGGAATAATGCAAGCAGGGGCCCCGTTCGCATTTCCCCTCCCCCAGACTTTGATTTGCCCCCCTGACTTTCCATAGGTCGACTTGCTCCACTTTTGCCCTCCTCCCAACGTTGCAGGAGATACCTACGTGGTTCTAGATGCTAACAACTTGGCTTTCTCCCCACATCTTTTCTGCAGTGGTGCCGAGAACAGAAGGATTCCCACAGCAGCTTCTCCTCAGCTACCAGGTGCTGGGGGCAGGCCCCCATGGACATAGAGGAGATTTGCAGAGCACTTTGAAGGGGTGTTTGGAAAAATAAATCATCCCGCGGTATTTGTCAGGGGAACAGGCCCCAGAGCTCAGCGCAGGGCAGCCATGAGGAGCCATAACTGAACCCCTGCTCCACGAACGCAGCCCAGCCCAGCCCAGCCCAGCGCTGAGCATGGATCCAGCGCAGCAGCCGCAGGGCCTCTCCAAGCCGCATCAGGGTCTGAATAAGCCTGTGCCTGGCCCTAGAAACCCGGACTGCCAAGGTGATGGAAAGCCACCCACAATCCCAGGCCCTCCGCACAGACCAGCCAGACCCGAGATTAGCGCCAGTGTTTGGAAAGCTTGTACTGTGACGGTCCTAGGGGCCGAGGCCTCTTGTTCTCCAGTAAATGCCACTTTCCAAACCCCTCCTCATGTTAACTACGGAATGCAGAGAACACACGTGTTCCCTCCCCGTGCTCACCACGGAATGCAGAGAACATGCATCTGTCCTGTGTCCCTCCCCGTGCTCACCACGGAATGCAGAGAACACACGTGTGTCCTGTGTCCCTCCTCATGCTCACCATGGAATGCAGAGAACATGCATCTGTCCCGTGTCCCTCCTCGTGCTCACCATGGAATGCAGAGAACACAC